AAGTGTACCACGAAAAACCATATATATATATATATATATATATATATATAAACATCTTATATATGTTACACGTTATATATATATATATGAACATCTTATATATGTTACACGTTTTGGAAGCTCATAAAGATTTCAGATTGTGTATCTTGTGGGTTACAAGATGCTACTGAAGGAAATCTGAGGAGAAGACAAAAATCAATAGACCCTTGATGATATATAGATCCAAAAGAGTTATCAGTACAAAGGTATTATTAATATTATTATTATATAAAAGAGGCAAGGATTGGACTTTGGTGTACCAAAAGTACAGCATTTCCAAGCCACTGTCCTAATTTTTTTATTATATATATAACAAAGCTCACTGCCCCTTTCCATGCTTGCTTCAGACATTTGGCTTCTCACTCTTTATCTTCTCTCTCTTTTTCTCAATTCCAATTCCAACCATCTTCCCCCCGATTGGGCTTCGAGATCTATATTTAGAGAAGGATGGGAAGGGCACCATGCTGTGAGAAAATGGGAATGAAGAAAGGGCCATGGACGCCGGAAGAGGATCAGATACTGACCAATTATATTCGTCTCTATGGCCATAGCAACTGGCGAGCTCTCCCCAAACAAGCCGGTATCCATTTTCCATCCATCTTAATAATAGTTTTATGGGTGTGGTGTTGGATCTTAGGGTTACTTAGACGATTCATTATATATATATATATATATATATGTTGATGTATTTTTCTAGGGTTACATAGATGTGGGAAGAGTTGCAGACTTCGTTGGATAAACTATCTTAGGCCGGACATTAAGAGAGGGAACTTCACACCTCAAGAAGAAGAAACTATCATCAAGTTGCATGGCATCTTAGGCAACAGGTCTGTCTTTTTTTCCTTTTTATTTTATATTTTTTTTTTCAATTAATGGAAGAGTAATTTAATTTGGTGGGGGCATGAGATTGAGAAGATTCCTCCCCGTGATCACTACTCGACAACACATTCACTTTGATTACATGTGCATGCCCTTTTATATATTATTTTGTTTTCTTGTTCTGTCTGTTTATATATCTTGGCGTCGTGT